GATATGCACATATTGTAACTAAAGCACTATTAATATCTTCATCATTGTTGCAATCATATCCATTGCCTATAAGGCCCACACAGCCACGCCCATTATCTACAGCACCTTTCTCATCATCTTCATCCTCACAAACAAACAAGAGAACTTATTTTAGAACGAAAAATTCCTTCAAAAAATATAGAACAAAAAGCCTCCTCTGAAACGGTGAAGACTTGCTCCTGCTCACTCGCCTTGGGGAAGATCTCGTTGAGCGGGTTATCGGGGTCGGCGGCGTGCTGGCTCAGGTACTTGATGGAGCCGGGCCCGAACTCGAAGAAGTTGCCCCCCAGGAAGGCGTTCGTGAAGAACAGGTTGGACACGGCAATGACGAAACCCAGGCATTCGCACAGCAGGAAGTTGATGGCGTAACTACGGTGGGTCGTGTGGCTGTTCGAGAAGTACTCGGACGAGGTCTTCAGCTGGGGGGGGGGGGGGGGGTAATGGAAGCATTTGTATGTAAGATCTTTCCTCTCTTGCGTGTATGTTCATGTGTTTTGTCTCTAGATCACATAATTGCTCCTTTTTCCTATTTCACTCAATATTACAGACATAAGGAAGCTTAATAAATGTTAATCCAGTTTTCCTTATTATACTCAGTAAACCTTATACATCACATGCATAAACAAAGCAATACGAAATCAAATGGTTATCCAAAACTTCTTACAAACAGAAAGAACCTGACAATCCGTGCAAAGGACGTCGTTACATCACCTCCTCCTCAGCGTTACCAAGTAGATACCTTACCTTATCCTCAATGCTCCCGATGTGGATCTTATCAAGGTCGCAGATGGCTTGGCTGAAGAACTTCTTGTCGATCTTGTCCCAGAGCCACGACGGGAAGTAGTAGATGACGGCCTGAAGCACAAGCACCATCGGGACCCACTGGTAGTAGGCGTGGCGCAGGCGGTCGGGCTCCTCCGTCGTGCCGTCCTCGTTGGTGCGGGGGGCGTCGGGGCCCACTCCGGGGTGGGGCACCGTCTGCGGGCACGGGGAGGGGGGGGGGGGTTAGTCGTGCGTCGGTCTGGTGGGTCGCGCTTGCTCTTTCTCTCTCTCTCTCTCTCTCTCTCTCTCTCTCTCTCTCTCTCTCTCTCTCTCTCTCTCTCTCTCTCTCTCTCTCTCTCTCTCTCTTTCTCTCTCTCTCTCTCTCTCTCTACCTGTGTATGTGTGTGTGTGTGTGTACACGCACTTGCATGCATACTTACTCATATCAGTCCCAACATACAATGTCCACAGAATCCTCATCACCATCCTCCTTATCACTACCGCCCTCCTCCTCCTCCATCCTCCACCCTCCACCCTCCATCCTCCACCCTCCACCCTCCACCGTCCACCCTCTTCCTCCCCCTCCCCCTCCTCCTCCCCCCCCCCCAGCCTACCTTCCCCTCGAGGTCGACGAGCGTGAAGGTCGAGGCAATGAAGCAGTAGGTCTCGATGGCCTTGTGCTCCTGCTTCTCGAAGCCGGTGATGCACTTGATGTTGTCGCCGATGTAGGTCTTGGCGGTGACGAGGACGCAGGCGAGGAGGGTCATCAGCATGCTCAGGCGGAGGGACAGCAGCACCGGCGACGTCACCTGCGGAGCCGTCGACCTGGGGGGGGGGGGGGGGGGGGATTTAGCGGTATTTTTTCATTTATTATTATTATTATTATTTTTTAATTATCATTATCTTTTTTGGGGGTATTGATTCTATTTGTGATTACTATTATTTTCTAAGGGGGGGGGGGGCGTGTCATTGCTTTGTTTTGTGTTTGTTTCTTTGTTTTTCTTTTTTTTGTGAGCGTGTTTGATCACTTTGTTGTTTGCTTTGATTGTTTGGGTCATATAAGTTATATTTTTTTGTGATTGTTTTGTTTTTACTTTCCTTAGTCGTTTAGCATTTTTTTTAATCCTTATTTGTTCATTCATTAATGTGTTAATTTAATTTAATTGTAATTTAATTTAATTGTAATTTAATTTAATTGTAATTTAATTTAATTGTAATCTAATTTAATTTATGTCTGTACATTTATCGAAGGTTTTGAGATATACTGTAATATTATTGCAAGAACAATATTTTTATATAATGAATAAAACAAACTATACAATCATTATATATTTTTTCCCAAGACAATCAAACATCTTCAACACTCTACAACGAAATTGCCATTCCTTACGCTTTCGTCGACACATGTTTCTTCAAACCGCCAAACACTTCGAACATCTTGGCGGCAGCGAAGTGAGACGAGGCAACACGCCGTTAGCTGTTCGTGAAGGAAAACGTTAGTGGAATTCGGGTGCGAAGGACCAATGGATGTGAAGTCATTATCTTAAGTCTTCCAGATAACGATTGGATTCTTAACTCAAGATTAAGAATTTGATTTAACTAAACTCTCCGAAATTCCTCATCAGACGTAGTCAAAACAAAATGTTCTGTTATGATTATTACCACGTCCAACGAGGAGCTTTCGGCGGTTTAGAAATGCCACCTATTACTTCATATCTACTATGGTAGTGTTTCCATTTTAAAATAATCTGACGTGTCCATTCAGTCACGATGGCCATTGTAATTTAGGTTAGTGATTCCCTGCAAGGTAATTCAGCAGTCAGATGTTCCGATTCTGTTTCGAGTTTAATCCAAATAATTCTAAAGATTTGAAGATTCCGACATAAGCTTATGCGACTATCAATTAGCTCCTTTCATCAAGCGGCCGAGATTTCTTTAGTAAAGCCTTAAAATCATGCAAATGTCCTTTCGTGACAACAGAATCACTAATGGAAAGCAAACAGGCCATTGCGAGAGGTGTGGAATACCTCCATTTTTTCTGTCGTTTTACAGTCAGTCAACGAGATCCTACAATGAAAGCAGACGTGTGGTTGAAGTTAACCTTAGATGATATGAAGGGCCTCCGCATGGCTGAGGGAGAGGGGGGAGCGGGGTATTACCCTCATAATCCCCCCATGTGGAACGTAAAAAAAAAAAAAAAAATCAGAAGAAAAACTAAAAATGGGTATAAGCAGCTGGTGTTCTTTATACAGTGGTACCTGCTACTGTGTTAGGTTACAATACTGTAAAAATCAAGTCAAAAGCAAGTTTTCCAATGAATTGCGCAAATGTAAAACGAAATCCGGAAATCCGGGTAAGAGTGGTCTTCTCAGGAGAATTTTTATTTATTTATTTATTTATTTATTTATTTTATTAAATTGGCCCTTTTTAAAACTGCTTACTGCCATGCGGACATGTGGAAAGGAACTTGCCTAGATTTAGGTTATCTGATAACAGGTAACCGCCGACTCTGTATTAACAAGAAAGGATGGTATACAAAGAATATGACATTACATTAAAAACATACAGCTGTATATTACAAGTCTGCGTTTTAAGGTGTTATATAAAGATAAGTGCACAATATTAGTATGAGTTGTACACATGTGCCCTTGGCCCAGAATTGTTCGAAAAAATTGTCGTTTTGGTGTGAATTATAGCACTGTAATTTGCTAAGGTTATCATGCTAATGGTCCACACCGAGGTTCATCAAAGGGAATAGAGGTTTTCACTTCTATCAACGAATTTGAATGCCAGACACTCGCGTGTGTCGGGCGGCGAGTGTCTCGGGCGACACACCTTAACGAATTTCATCTCAAGAAGTCCCGTCAGCACGTCAAGTCAGCAGGTCAAACCAAGCAGGTCAGCTCGTAGTGGGCCATAGGTCAAAACAGTCGTTTGTCTAATTGAATAGCGTGAACGGGAGTTTTTCATTACACACCTGATATTCTTTGATGTCACAAGAAACACCCGAGTTGGTGCACTGCGTCGCGACGTCGAGCGAAGACGTAGAGGCAAATTGCTGGAGATAAAGGTAGTCTGATAATCTTTTTTTTTCGTTCGATAAGAATGAAATCTTTGATAAAAGAGGCGATAACGGACACTGCATTTCACCTTTCGAAGCTGGAGAACAGTTGAGTCTTAATGTTATCTTTTCATTACTTTGTGTGGGACTTTACTCCTGTTCCCTATCATATACAATCTTTATCGCTCTCTCTTTCTCTCCATTTTTCTCTTTTCTTTCTCTCCATTTTCTTTTTTCTTTCTACTCTCTGTCATTCTGAATCAGTCGCTACCCCCACCCCCCTCCCGCCTCTCTGTTTGCGCGCGCGCTCGTGTGTCTCAGTTTTGAACTGCCGTTACACCTACAATAAATCAGATATTACGATAAGATAAAAGACCTGTAATCCAGCTTTCAAATCTTGCGTTTGTGACATTGATAAAATCTTTCATTAAACCTGAGTACGATGTGTTTTCTCTTTTGGAAATTCTCTAATATGTATCTTTTTGTACATGTATATTAGTTCTTTGGTAACTGAATAATCTTTAAATAAATAGACTGGAGGTTGGGCAGAGGATGGATAATGAGGGTGAGGAAGGGGGAATGGTGTGTGTGAGAGAGAGAGAGAGAGAGAGAGAGAGAGAGAGAGAGAGAGAGAGAGAGAGAGAGAGAGAGAGAGAGAGAGAGAGAGAGAGAGAGAGAGAGAGAGAGAGAGAGAGAGAGAGAGAGGAGAGGGGAAAAGACAGATAGACAGCCGGGTAGACAGATTGATAAGTAGGAAGACAGAAAGACAGACAGACAACTAGATATTACTTGGTAACGACGTTAGATACACAAACAGACAGAAACCAGAAAGGAGAAGGAACGCGATCAGGAACGGCCGCACTCCTCTGCCAACCCAGATGACAAATTATATCGGAATCGTACAGCAGATTCATCAGATTACAAAACCCAAGCAGGAAACAGAATTTTAACGGTTAACCTGAAGAATCCGGATGTCGATTTATTTTTACCATTATTTTTTTACGCTCGTCAATAGCGAGCTTCCGCCCTCGTCGGGGGAAATTGCGCAACACACATTCTTTCTTCTGTGCTTTAAGGTCGATTTTGTAGGCGGGATAATGTGATATCATCGCCTCGATAGATATTGGGTAATTTTGCTATGTCCCGCATTTAGAGTCACTCAAGGTATGAAACGTTACGGATTTACATTCTAGACGAGGAAGCTGGGGATACGTGTGCAATGGTCAGTAGTTTTAATTTTCCTTTTCTGCTTTACCATTGCAAGTGCTGCAGTTCAACTTCGTATCCGACTGGTTACAAAAATTATGTTACAACTTCCAACATTGTACAGGGAGAAAAAAAATTCCCCAGTCCCAAATTCGGTCTTGATACGATCTACCGAATGAAAAAAAGGCTTTCTATGTATCTGGGAATTAAGTGTCGTTTCAAAAAAGGATAGATCGTGAATAACCATTGTAACCACTTAATCGTGCCAGTTCGGTTAGTGAGATGTAAACCAATATTCATGAAATCACTCAGGAAAATATACATCTTTCGTCACTACAGACAAATCATGTGATATATTAAAAATTAAGATTAAAAAAATGTTTATTTCTTTTTCTTTTCACAATAATAAAAAGTAAACAAGGCATGAATAATCACTTATTTTCAAGAAGTGTCATATACAAGCAAATCAACTCTTTGATATCCCTTTCCTATCTTAATATATAAAATTCCTATTGCAATCATGGGATACACCAAGTGTCGTCAATTATTAAATGATTAATATATGTACTGTGCACCGTATGAGCAACAAGGCAAGATCCAGTGTCATCAGCTAAACCACCTCAATATAAATTTTAAGTAACATTTTCCAGGAGAAATGACTGGCCAGAACACCTATTTTCAATTTTTATTTCTCAGATCACAGTAGTTGGTCTGAAGGAGCATAAGGATTACAGCCACTGACATTTGGAAGCATGACGCTAACAAGGACTATGTGGGCAACACCTATGCGAAATTCTGCGAGATATTTCACTTTTACGTAAATGAAACTACGTTTTACACATATAAAAAATCCTCCATGGACTCACCCCGTCCTCTTATGTATAACGAACGATAACTGAGACAGCCCATGTAAAAAATCCATACAAACTGAGTGACAAATCTTAAGTCCTTCTTAGTAAATAATACCTATTAATCTCTGGCCTTCCAGACATGCACAATTAGATAAAAAAAATTAAAGAGACATCTATTGTAGCCCTAAATGCGCCTACTCGTCGTAGAGCGGCGTCTGGTCCCCCCCGATGCTCATGTTGGTGGGCGAGTGGATGGTCTTGGGCGTGGAGCGCGCCGAGCGGGGCGTGGCGCGCGGGTTGTCGTAGTCGTGGTAGGGGCGCGGCGTGCGGTCGTCGTAGCGCGGCGTGCGTCGCGACCCGTCGTCGGGGTAGCCGGAGCTCGAAGCGTAGCGCGAGTCGCGGGGCTCCGAGTAGCGCGGCGTGCTTCGCCCTCCGTCGTGGTGCCTCGGGGTGGACCTCCCTGCGTCGCGGGCGCTGCCGCCGCCGCTGCCGCCCTTGGCCTGCACCCACGCGGCCGCCACCATCTTCCAGTCCGTCTGATCCAAGCGGCTGCTGGCGGAGGGCGTGGACCGCGACGGCTGGCTGCTGTGGCCGGTGGAGGGGCGGTGTGAGGGCGTGCGGTTTCCGACGCTCGAGTACGAGGGTGTCTGAGAGCCGCTGTAGCGCGGGGTGGTGGAGGGGCCAGGCGTGGCGTAGGGCGTCATGAAGGGCGTCTGGCCGGAGGGCGTGTACGGGGTATTGGCGTAATTGGAGTAGCCTTGAGAAAACGCCCCTGGGGTGTGCGCTCCGTAGGGCGTGTTCGTAGCTGCCTGAGACAGGTTGTGCAGCATGTGGGGGTTGAGGTTTTGTGCCACCTTCTGGATGGTGGAGGCGTCGACGCCCATCAGGTTGGGCGTCGTGCCACCCATGTAGGGTGTGCGCGTGGACATCATGCCCGGCGTGGCCCCCATGCTGGGCGCGGGCCGCCGGAAGTTTACCTTGAACCACTTGAGGAGCGACGCCAGGTTGGGGTGCTGCATCCGGCCGCGGAACTTGAAGCCCTCGGGCGTCACCGTCACGAACTCGTGGATGACCTTCACACGCGGCAGGTAGGACAGCATGAACTTGCCCGGCAGGTCCTTCCTCGGCGAAAAGAGGTAGGGAATGGTCTTGGGGTTCTTCTTCTTCTCCTCCTTCAGGATCTCGGAGGCCTTGTTTTTGTCGCCCATGACGGATTCCTTGTAATACTTGTATTCCAATATCTGGCGGACGTTTATCGCCATTGGCGAAATGTATCTGGCAATGATTTCGTCTAGATCCTCAAACTCTTCGTTCATGATCCACAGCTTCTGGCCGAGAGAGAAGTCATTTTGCTTGTCCTGTTCCCGAATGTCAATGTGCTGGCAGATGCCTTCGGTGACCTTCCACGTCGCCGTGAGGTGGTCGACGCCCTTGCTCGAGGGCCGGATGATGACCTCTCCTTGCTCGAGGTGCTGCATCACCTTTTCGGCTTCATTGTAGTCAATGTTCCTGAAGGATGGATGAGCGATGACACGCTTCTGGTACTGCGTCTTCTTCTTGTCCATTTTCTTTCTACTGCTGTTCATGTCCTTCTCCTCCGTCTCATAGTCGTAGTAGGCATCCTTAGGAGCCTTCCACTTGCCATCGCGATCCTGAAGGTCTGAGGTTCGAGAGGTTAGTTCGACCGAAAACTTCTCCGGGTCGATCTTCATGATGCGACACAACACAATGCCATTTCTCTTCACTCTCTCTGCTGGATTAGTCACTGTCTTGTCTGACAAATTCTTAATGCTAATAAACCCAGATATCCCATTGTCCAAGCGTACACGAATGCCAATGGCCTGGCCAGGGCAATCCCCTGCATCAAAATGGTTCCACACCTCACTGAGCTCAGGGAAGTCATTCTTCAGGCAGAATGGACACTGCCAGAGACCCGTGTCTTCATTTCTGACAGGGTTGGCATTGTCCAGCTGATCTCCTCTGGGCTTTCGGTGGATGAAGTTGGTTACTGTCACTTGCACTAATTTTCCGACGTAGAATGTTTCTGGGGACTCTTTGGTCAAGATGTTGAAGATTTCCTCTGGAGTGGGAGATCTGAAAGGCATCCTGAAGTCCTTGTATCTGTGATTCAACTCGTGTCTTATGTCATACAAGGTAGTGTTCTTCTTACCAAAGCCTTGGTTCTGGAGTTCAGTCGCGAACGCTTCTAAATCTAATTCACTCAGTCGTTCAGGAGTTTCCAAAATTTCTTCCAAAGCTTCTGCAGGTTTGCCTTCCTCGTCCTCATACTCCAAGGCATCGACTGCCATTTTTCTCGCCCAGTCGTACGCCTCTGGATGAATACGCGTTGAATCGAGAACTTCAATATAATTATCACTATCTCCTAGAGCATTGGTGTCAATTTTAATGAATCCGGCACAATTAATAAATACTTTGGGACCCATGTGGAAATTGACCACCAGCTGGTTTCGATTCTCTAAACGCTGATTATTCTGCTTCATGTTCTTTATGAGAAGGTTAGCTTTACGAGGTCCCAAGCCACACACAAACTGCACTAAGTTCTGAGTATATGGGTAAGCCACAGCACGATTCAAGTCAACGCCAACTTCATTTGTACGATTAACAAATTCAGTGTACAACGAATCAAGGAGTTCAGCATTATTTATTTGATCTTGCAGTGAATGGAACTTTATATTGAGCAACTCATCATCAGCATTGCATAACTGTGAAAACTCGATCAGAGGGTCTTGGATTCGGCGGCCAATGGAGATGGCCTGACGCAGCAGGGGGGGATAGTCCAGGAAATCTGCCTCACCCTTCTTGGACATGGCATAGATGTGGGCCAAGTCATTGTCAATAATCTCCACATTGATCTTGGGGAACTGCTCCTGCTCCTCCAGATCTTTTAAAATCTGAATCAGGTCTTCCTTGACCATGAAGCCTTCCCTGGACTCTCCGCTGACAGCCACTACGTGTGGTTTGCGCCGGATGATGAACTCCTGCATCCGCCTGATGTCATTCTCCTTAGCAAGAGCATCCCTCTCATTGTAGGCATTGCGTCGCTTGAGCAAGTGAGGAAGGCGGATGTACTCGCAACAATCTCCATCGATGTCAATGCAGCACCCAAAGGCAGCCTGTGACAGATCGGGCACATAGGCAATGGAGAAGACCCTGAAGCCCTTGGAGGTATCCCAGTCGTCCTCGTCCTCGTCGGAGAAGTCGCCAGGGTTGTAAGGTGCGATTTTAATCCAGTTGTATAGTTTGCTGCAACACTGCTCAATCACATGGTCCTTGGACTCCTGCAGCAGTCTCTGGGACAGCTCTCTCTTCAGGTCTTCTATAATCCTCTTGAAGGCAAAGGTCACTGCTCGCCCTCTCAAGTCGTTCCAGTCTTGGACCACTTGGGAGAACTCATCCCGATAGTACAGCTGCTTCATTTCGTCCAAATAGCTCAGAGAGGTGTTGCCCTCAATGGTGTCAGACAGACTAATGGTCATGAGTTTATCCTCTACCCCACACTTGAGTCTCAGGAACTGGTCTCCCTGCAGGTCTGTGACAGGTTTGTCCTTCAAGTATTTGATGGGATAGAGTGGGTGGTGCTCGTCTACGATCTTTAGGCCCTGAGGGGTAGGTCTGGCACTGATCCTTGCTCGCTCAAAATAGGCTTCACGCACGGTACGGCGGACAAGGGGTTCACATGCTAACTGCCACCCAACCATCCTCACAGCAGCTTCCAACACTCTTTCAGGAGTAGAACACATCCTGGAAAAAACATAAGGACATTAAACTTTTGTTCAAAACAAATCTGTAATCTTAAACTTAATATATAGCCTTATCATCAACTGCTGTCAACATCTACTCACATATGTACTCCATCCCAATTGTATTAATTTCTCATCTTATCTTTTAAATCACAGGACTAGAATTTTTAAAAAATCCTTGAGCTTTATTCCGGTATGAGATGCAAGCAGGTCTAACTTACTTTGAGATATGCTCCTCAGCCTCCTTGAGAGGGTCCTCCTGGCACTGTTCACAATCAAATCTCTGGTAGTTGTCGCGCAAATTTTCGCCAAACTGTTCTGGTGTCAGACCAAACTTCTTGGTCAATGCCTCTGTAAACAGAAGGAGAGTCCATTAGGAAATATTTAATTTAGGAAAATCCTGTATTATGAAATCATATAAAAAAAAAAAAAAAAAGTGCAAGAAAAAGTTACAAGAAATGTCTGTATTAAACATTAGGCAATTGGAGACCCAAGCCTATCAGTCCAATTTTTTCTTTTATTCAACTTCTCCCTAGCTCCACTTTCTTTTCTGAGAAACCTAGTCTTTACTTAAATTTTATGTTTGCAAGATTAACTTCTCCTGCTGTGTTATCAATGAATATATTGTGTCTGTTTTAACAATTCAAACTGCGTGATACAAATTAAAATGAAACACACACACACAGAATCCTTCCATTTCCAAATTTTTCCAATTTTGCATATACAGAAAAGGATAAAAAAGTAATGGAAAGATAAATAAATAAATAAGAATATGCACACGAGAAAAGAAATTATAGCCCATCCGAAGACATAGAAAAATGGAGAAAAATGTTAGAGAAATGAAGAAACAGAGTGAGTGAGCGACAAAAAAGTGGAATCAAGAGAAATTCCTCACCAATGCCAGCTTTCCTTAGGAGTTCATACTCGTGCCGCCTCACTGCCTTCTTCAGAGCATCAGTGTCCTCTGGGGCCTGTTGGGGCTCATCCTCCACTTCCTCTTCCACTTCGGTTTCCACTTCTGTCTCCACCTCTTCCTCCTCTTCAGAATCGTCATCGTCTTCTCCATCTTCCTTCTCCTTCTCTTTCTCTTTCTCCTTTTGTTTTTCCTTTTCCTTTTCCTTGTCTAGCTCACCCTCTTCATGTTCTTCATCTGAGTCTTCTCTTATGAGCTCACCCTCTTCATGTTCTTCATCTGAGTCTTTCTCTTTATCACTTTGTTTGTCTTTTTCTGCCTCATTCTCTTTGTCTACCTCTTCATCATTTTCCTTGTCTTTCTCCATTTCATTTTCCTTCTCCTTTTCAGGTTCCTTCTCCTTCTCTTTCTCTTTCTCCTTTTGTTTTTCCTTTTCCTTTTCCTTGTCTAGCTCACCCTCTTCATGTTCTTCATCTGAGTCTTTCTCTTTATCACTTTGTTTGTCTTTTTCTGCCTCATTCTCTTTGTCTACCTCTTCATCATTTTCCTTGTCTTTCTCCATTTCATTTTCCTTCTCCTTTTCAGGTTCCTTCTCCTTCTCTTTCTCTTTCTCCTTTTGTTTTTCCTTTTCCTTTTCCTTGTCTAGCTCACCCTCTTCATGTTCTTCATCTGAGTCTTTCTCTTTATCACTTTGTTTGTCTTTTTCTGCCTCATTCTCTTTGTCTACCTCTTCATCATTTTCCTTGTCTTTCTCCTTGTTTTCCTTTTCCTTTTCCTTGTCTAGCTCACCCTCTTCATGTTCTTCATCTGAGCTGAGTCTTTCTCTTTATCACTTTGTTTGTCTTTTTCTGCCTCATTCTCTTTGTCTACCTCTTCATCATTTTCCTTGTCTTTCTCCATTTCATTTTCCTTCTCCTTTTCAGGTTCCTTCTCCTTCTCCTGCTCTTCATCTTCATCGTCGTCTTCTATGACGAAACCCTTCTTCTTTTTCTTTTTCTTTCTCTTGACCTTTCTTAGAACCTGAAAAGGAACACCAACCCTTCAGAATATCAACTTAAAAGAGGACAACAACATCCATTAACCCCTTGGTGCCGGGTGACACCGATCGGCGTGTACACAAAGAGCTCGAAAGCTGGCGTGCAGCCAAACGAGCCAGCAGCGCGCCAAAGCGCAGCGAGCCAGTGATTCGGGCTGATGTCCCCTACTCACGCGCTCAAAGTTTTTTTTTTCTTTTGTACACCCGGCGCCATTGGGTTAAACAAATATAAATTTTATCCATAATGAGTACCTAAACATTTACTCAGGCAAATAACTTGAAGCAATGCTTTCTTCCTTTAAAACAAAGAATGTTGTATTTGTATCAACAAGGAAAATTCATGTGAAATACAACATATCTTAACCCCTTGCCGCCGGGTGACGGCGATACGCGTGTAAACAAATCGCTCGAAAGGTGGCGTGCGGCCAAACCAGCCGGCGGCGCGCCAAAGCGCGGCGAGCCAGTGATTCGGGCTGACGCCCCGTACTCCTGCGCTCAAAGTCGGTGCGCTGCCTTTGTTTGCCAGAGCGTAGAGTTTTATTTTCCTTTAGTACACCCGGCGTCATTGGGTTAAAAATTAGATTCAAACAAAAATCAAATATAGTAAGCAAGAAAAAATTTGATTCATAAAAAAACATAATGACTAACCTTCACAACCTTTGTAGCACGCACTGTATTCTGCCTTTCTTTGTTCTTGGCCTTCATGTGCTCATGCATGTCAGGCAGATCCTTTCCATAGTAAAGCAAGAACTGCTTGTAGCAATCATTAAACTGCTCAGAGGTCTCCAATTCATCTATTCTGAAAGTCAAAGCACAACAAAATTTACAACCAATATTCTAAAAACAAAAAATGGAAATAAAATATAAATATAAAAAAATAAACCAAAAAATTAGAAGGTATAATACAAATAACAATAATAACCTAGATTTAAAGCCAAATATTACATTATAATTTTTTTTATCACTCCATAAATTTGTGTAATACAAATTACCTCTCAATATCCTCTTCCTTGAGCATCCTCACGTTCTCTGGAAGGGGAGCATCGAGGTCCTTCATGATGAGGTCGCCCTGGAATTCTGACATCATCTGGAACCTCGAGCGCAGGTTCTCCTTCCGGCGCTTCAGCTGACACCACTGTGGGCAGGCGGATCAATTCATGGCTTTAGCTTTGTAGGATATAATACCTTCATCCTAACAAATGGAATTGTTCTTTCTTGTTGCAATGGCAGTAAAGACAGACTACTTGTTTAGGGAAAAGGATCTGGGAAGAAACAAATTAAACAGAGGATAAGAGGATAAGAAATGAAAGGGACAATGAGGAAAGAAAAACAGAAAGGGAGTGATGAAGCAATAACACAATAATGAAAACAAGAAAGAAAGAAAGCAAAAAAATAATAATGATAATGATAATGATAATAATGACGATAAAAACACACAAACTAGTCCCTCCAAACCGCACCTTTTCGTCCCACCGATAGACCTTCCACAGGTCATGAATGTTCAGCTCCGGCTGGACTTCCTCCTTCCTATAGAAAGCAATGAAGGGAACCTCACATGTGGAATTCCTCATCAGGTCCAGGGCATTGTAGATCTTCTGAATCATGTTCATGTCACGGCGGGAACGGAGCTTGGCTTCATCACGTCCTTCCTGAAGTGGTCAACAAAGGAGGGTTTATTGACAGGTGCGTATGATGCTTTTAGAAAATAGTTTTAATTCACACAAACAGTGAGTAAAATCCATGGAAATGAGGTCTATTTTATATTTTACTCAATGAAAATATTTTATTTGGTTTATAAGGCAGTAAAAAGGAATGTTGTTTCTTACCCTACCTATGCCCCCTCCCCCCTCTTTCTCAAGAAAGAAAAAGACCAAAAATAAAATCATATACACTGAAATTCTTACATAAATTTGAATTTACTTTGCATGCATTACAATTTATTCCTAACTGTGCAACACATTACAAAAGAAATATCAATCAAATTTTAGCAATGGTAAGTTCATAAAAAAAAAAAAAAAAAAAAAAAAAAAAAGTTTAAACCAATTTTAGTTTTCCTGCAGTTTCTTCCTTATTTATGGGAATTAAACTATACATTCAATATGAACATGTACAGCAGCTGGACAGTCACCCTTAAAGAGATCCTGGATTTTATATATTTCCTTCAATACTAGTTTAATTAACAATGTACCTGGTTTGATATATAAGGCTTGAAGAATGCATGATGATATATCCACTTGGCCTCCTGATCGAGCTCCTTGTCTGTTGCGCGGTCGTCACCCTCTCCTCTTGTGCGTGTTACAGGGATCTGCCGCAGCTGGAACCTTTCAGGGATGTCCGACTTGCGGATTTCATGATCCTGGTCTGTGAGGTGACCTCGCTCAAGTTCACTAGGCTCGAAGACCTGGGAAAGGAACAAGCAAAATTTGATGCCACAGATGCTACATTAAATTTGTATCACAGTTCATTATTCAACCGCAAATAAAAAGACTTTGGCTATTCTATCAACACAACAAAATTACCAATATAATATGTGGGCATTTATTTCACATACCTCGTAGATGGATTTCTTGATAGGCTTCCTGCGTTCCTTTCTGCGATGCCGTCTCTCTCTCCCCTCCACTTCTTCGTCTTCCTCGTAATCATCATCATCTTCCTCCTCTTCATCTTCAGCTTCATCATAATCTATAAATATAAAAAAATAAACCAAAAAATTAGAAGGTATAATACAAATAACAATAATAACCTAGATTTAAAGCCAAATATTACATTATAATTTTTTTTATCACTCCATAAATTTGTGTAATACAAATTACCTCTCAATATCCTCTTCCTTGAGCATCCTCACGTTCTCTGGAAGGGGAGCATCGAGGTCCTTCATGATGAGGTCGCCCTGGAATTCTGACATCATCTGGAACCTCGAGCGCAGGTTCTCCTTCCGGCGCTTCAGCTGACACCACTGTGGGCAGGCGGATCAATTCATGGCTTTAGCTTTGTAGGATATAATACCTTCATCCTAACAAATGGAATTGTTCTTTCTTGTTGCAATGGCAGTAAAGACAGACTACTTGTTTAGGGAAAAGGATCTGGGAAGAAACAAATTAAACAGAGGATAAGAGGATAAGAAATGAAAGGGACAATGAGGAAAGAAAAACAGAAAGGGAGTGATGAAGCAATAACACAATAATGAAAACAAGAAAGAAAGAAAGCAAAAAAATAATAATGATAATAATGACGATAAAAACACACAAACTAGTCCCTCCAAACCGCACCTTTTCGTCCCACCGATAGACCTTCCACAGGTCATGAATGTTCAGCTCCGGCTGGACTTCCTCCTTCCTATAGAAAGCAATGAAGGGAACCTCACATGTGGAATTCCTCATCAGGTCCAGGGCATTGTAGATCTTCTGAATCATGTTCATGTCACGGCGGGAACGGAGCTTGGCTTCATCACGTCCTTCCTGAAGTGGTCAACAAAGGAGGGTTTATTGACAGGTGCGTATGATGCTTTTAGAAAATAGTTTTAATTCACACAAACAGTGAGTAAAATCCATGGAAATGAGGTCTATTTTATATTTTACTCAATGAAAATATTTTATTTGGTTTATAAGGCAGTAAAAAGGAATGTTGTTTCTTACCCTACCTATGCCCCCTCCCCCCTCTTTCTCAAGAAAGAAAAAGACCAAAAATAAAATCATATACACTGAAATTCTTACATAAATTTGAATTTACTTTGCATGCATTACAATTTATTCCTAACTGTGCAACACATTACAAAAGAAATATCAATCAAATTTTAGCAATGGTAAGTTCATAAAAAAAAAAAAAAAAAAAAAAAAAAAAAAAAAGTTTAAACCAATTTTAGTTTTCCTGCAGTTTCTTCCTTATTTATGGGAATTAAACTATACATTCAATATGAACATGTACAGCAGCTGGACAGTCACCCTTAAAGAGATCCTGGATTTTATATAATATATTTCCTTCAATACTAGTTTAATTAACAATGTACCTGGTTTGATATATAAGGCTTGAAGAATGCATGATGATATATCCACTTGGCCTCCTGATCGAGCTCCTTGTCTGTTGCGCGGTCGTCACCCTCTCCTCTTGTGCGTGTTACAGGGATCTGCCGCAGCTGGAACCTTTCAGGGATGTCCGACTTGCGGATTTCATGATCCTGGTCTGTGAGGTGACCTCGCTCAAGTTCACTAGGCTCGAAGACCTGGGAAAGGAACAAGCAAAATTTGATGCCACAGATGCTACATTAAATTTGTATCACAGTTCATTATTCAACCGCAAATAAAAAGACTTTGGCTATTCTATCAACACAACAAAATTACCAATATAATATGTGGGCATTTATTTCACATACCTCGTAGATGGATTTCTTGATAGGCTTCCTGCGTTCCTTTCTGCGATGCCGTCTCTCTCTCCCCTCCACTTCTTCGTCTTCCTCGTAATCATCATCATCTTCCTCCTCTTCATCTTCAGCTTCATCATAATCTATAAATATAAAAACAGTTAAATTTTTTTTTTGTAATTTTGCTTTTTAAGTGTTCAGAAATTATTTATCTATGCATCAATGTAGACATATTCCTAGTATATTGCTTTTAAATTAATGTGGAAAATTCTTGATTATACAGCTTAACTGCCCCACATCTCTTCCAGGGCCTCCCCTTCTACTGACCTTCATACTGCTCAAACTCTCCGTAGTCGAAGTCACAACCGAAGATGTCTCTCGCAGCCTCGAGACCCTCATCCTCGAAGATGGCCTTCTTCTTTGTCTTGGCAATGGGCTTGCCATCATCGTCCACAATGAAGCTTCCTTCACCGTCAGACTCTTCCTCCTCCTCTTCCGAGGCATAGGTCTCAGGCTGCTGGGGGACCTGTGGGGCTGGGGCAGCCTCTTCATCGTCCTCCTGTAGAGGGTCAAAGATTCCATTAGGATTTCAAAAATATTCATTACAATGTATGTGTTGCATCAACACTCTTCACCACATCGGCAGAGAGAATTCCCTTCTGCTTCCTGCCTCATTTGGAAACCTGCTTGATCCCCACTACCGCCAGCCATAAAGAAGAAATATTGATCAACAAATAATTGTTTATAACAAAATGTTGTCACATTCAGCCAAAAGGAAGGTTATCACATATAAAGTAAGAAAAAGAAAAGGAAAAAGAAAAAAGTGAATTTTGTCTCTAAATAATAATGGCTAATACAATTATGCTGTTTAGTATACTACTTGTATGTTCATCAGGTATAATAATAATTGAAAAAAAACTGATCATAACTTAAACAGGAATATTTCTGGTAAGTGAGAATAAACACTGGAATTTATGTGACCAAATCATCTGGATTTTCATGGCTGCCAAGATAAGTTGGCAAAAGTATACAGAAATATTGTTTTATCATGAATAGCTTACTTTCAAGACCTGTCTTAGTGTCACCGTAACATCACAATACATTATCCCAAAAAGTAAAATCTTTAAGACTTCTCTGTCTTTTTTTACAGACTCAAAAGAAAATTAATTACCCACCTCTCTCCTCCAATAAATTTTAATCATTGTTATTATATTATTCTCGTGAGGTCATATCTGTATCCCATGAAAGTGAAATTTATAGGATGCCTATAAGTATTTCCCAAAACTTAAATAATAAAATTGTATTTTGATGTAAGTTGGCTCCCTATTACTCAGTGCTACCATGAACTAATTCCCTCTAATGTTGTAAGACATAAAAATAATGTAGTGAATTACACCAACAGTGTAGATGCAGCCCTCACACATTAGCCGCTGCTTTCTTAAATACTTCTAACATGCAGGCTTATGTTTAGTTCTGAAGATTTATCTATAAATATGCTTAGGTAAAAAAAAAAAAAAAAGGAAAAACACTTATTTTGTGAAAAGAGAACAGAAAGAAAAAACAAAAAAACAATAATTCATGAATCAATTGCCGAATGCTTTTGCAAAACTACACAAGGGAAATATAATGGCATTCCTGGATTTCTTTAGTCCTAGGTTGAATAAGAGATAAAGAAAAACAAAGAAAGAGTTAAAGTGTAAGTAAAAAGTATACACATGAATCAGGACCACTTACTGCATCCTCCTAAGACGGCAGGGTGTGGGAAAACAAAAAATAAAAGCAATGCATATGGAGTTTGAAGCCGTAAGACACTAATTACGCTCTCCTGAAAATGTGTTTAACATTTATGGTAAAAATGTCTATTTCAAAATTCTAACATTAACAACAAAGAAAATGGCCTCTGCACAACACCCACAAGCAAGGATGGCCAGGCAGCATAGCAATGCTTTTAACATTACAGTTATGTTGAAATAGGTTGTACAGACTACTTGAATACTTCTAAGGTAAAATTAATATCAAAGAGATCTGAATTAGGCTAAGAAGCAATTTTACGTTCTGATTTTGTATAAAACATGTTTTTCAATTAATTTTTGTTTTCTATTAAATATGTCTCATGAGACAACCCCTCATAAATACTGTCTCTGATAATGACTTAAATAATTATTCAATTGATTTCAAAACTGCAAGCCTGTTTAAAGCTATCTTAAATTACACTTAAATAACTAAACAAAAATTAAGTCTAGATGTATTTTCTTCCCTCACATTATTGGAGTGATTAAGATGAACATGATATATGGTAATTATTATTTTATCCACAATTAATAGTCAGAAGCAGCAATTTCACACTTCCCTTGTGTTGCAGGAGAGCTTGCCACTTTGCAAACTTCTTTGCTATCTCCTCAGAAAGTAAGGGAATAAAGCAACAGTGGCTAGTTCCTTTCTTCAGCAAAAATACTGATGAAACAGAGTACTGAATAAAGTACATACACAGGGTAGTTTTCTTTTAAATGTCTTGAGGATAAGAGGATATCACATGCATACCATATATCAAAACATGTAAACTACAGTAGTTTTGCACTAACTGTCCTCACTTTCATTCTCTTCTACAAGGAGAAATTAAAGATATGCAAAGAAAATCACCCACACATCTAAAAAATGTGGTAAATATAATCTATCCACCTATCAAGCTATATTTCAAAAATTACCCATTTCTAAAAGGAAACATCTATTCACTGAAAAGTAGCAAACAAAGTCCCTTAGAATAATGGCCAAAAATTACTATATATCTTCTACAATTATGCAGGGTGTGGGTGCAAAAATCATGTTGCTGCTAGAAAAACAAAAGGAAATCTTGTTTATTTTTGTTTTTGCTTTTCTTTCTATGTGGTTTGTATCTTTAGATACTTAAACATTATAAGTGAATGGAAATGCAATTCCCTGCAGGGTTAAATATTCTCACCTGAGGAACACAGTACAAGGAAAATGCCAATGGAGAAACAAATGGGATGAATAAGGGGTTAAGATAATAAATGGGATGAATAAAAACAGTACACAGGAATCCACGAGACAACTGTAGGCTTTACTCACATCGCCCGATCCCTCGAAGATTTCCCTCCTGATCTGTCCCTGGACATCCTCTTCCTCAGCATCTGAATCTTCATCTTCTATTCTCTTTAGACGTTTGAATTTTTTCTGGAAACGATTTACTGTGTTTAGCAAAAATTTTTATGTGGGCAAAAAGATTTTGAACAAACTGATATCTTATGTAGTGAATTAATAACTTTTTAAAACTCTTTTATTAGTCTGGTTTGCATGTTACTGTAATCTGTTAAATTACATAAATGAAACTGTATTCATTGCAACAAATGTAGAAAAGATATGAATGAGAATGAATACATCTATTATTGTGAAGCTATTCATTCTCATTCATACAAGTAACAAAATCATATATTTATCTATATACTTACAAACACACAAATACACATTGCCAGTTTGCAAATTACCTTTCTGTCTAGTTTCACACCTATATTTTCTTCAATGAGATCGAGATCATCCTCATCTAAGTTGTCTGCGTCCAAGTCATCATCATCGTCATCGTCTCGTTTTCTTTTTCCTTCCACTTCACTGTCTGACCCCCCTTCATCTTCCTCTTCATCATCGTCATCATTGATAAATCCTTTGTTTTCCTCTTGGATCATTTCCTCTGCATAGGGTACATTAGAATTATATAGAATTTAGTCAGAGTAAAAACAAATTGTTAAAGGTTTCTTGAATGACATAATCATTCCTTTATTATATATATATATGTACAATATAAACAATGAACACTGATAAACATGACATCATATCATATCTAGTAACGCACCATCTTCATCCTCCTCCTCTGAGGAGTCTTCTACAGATTTCTTTAGTTTCTTGAGTTTCTTCTTTTCCTCCTCCCCATACTCCTCCTCCTCCTCCTCACTCTCCTCTGCCTCTGAATCTATGAAGTGTGACATTGTTGCTTACTGTCGCCTGGAAGAGAAAATCATTCACAATTAGTTCTTGCAACTTGGCACTAGAGAACTTTTTGCAGTTGTGACTTTCTGGTCACTTGCCATTTCTCTTGATCAGATTAAACAACATTTAACACCTGTTACCCTAAGGCTGAAATGGAAGAAACATCAAGTTAAGTTGATTGGCCATTCAAGCCTTTATATGAAAACTATTCCCATCAATGAGATAATTATGACAAGTTATTATAGAGGCAAAGGGTAATATACCATAATCAAATAATAAGACCTGCATTAAGATAGGGAAATCACTGTCATAAAGATATGTAAAAACCATCATTCAATGATACACAACATGCAGGAACTGTATAGGCAAAACATATTGTTAGAAATTAAGAAAATAGGTTGTGCTAAATGCCAAGGCAGTCTACTCAACACACACTGTGGCCAAGTCCCATATTATTACCTACATAATGCATATTCTGGATTTTCATAACCACTGAATTACCCTTGATTACCACTTTTACTGACAGGCTCTTAACCTGTTACTGCTGTGTATAGCAGTCATAACACACCTTGTGGTGACGAGCTAGAGTGCGGTGAGCAGGAATTCATTTACATGTAGTGTACTCCGACGTCCAGCAGCTGGACCTTGCCAGTAATCACCAGAGTCTATGAAACCAAGAGATTTCTAAGACCCATCACTGAGGGGCTAATGAGTTCCCAACCTGGCTCATTTCTCTCTTCCTCGGCCCGCAGGAATGGAATGTCTTTTTTGCTATTTGTGGGACTTTGATTATGGGGATTTTCCCATAAATATAGTAATGATTTAGAAGTGTTGATTACATGGTGCCAAGAGCACAAATTTTGAAAACTCTAAAATGTGAAAAGTGTGATGACAACTGCCATTTAGGTTTGAATAAAATGAGTTTTTGATCTAAAAAGATTACAGAAGAACAGTGCAATGTAAATTTGTAGGAATAATATTTAAAAACGAATGGTTTGACCCTGCTAAATCAGATTTAGAAACAAATCTAAAATTTGTGAATTCACATTTATGGGAATATATTTGATATTCAAGAGATTGAGAGAAGTTAAATTTGTCAGACAAAATAATTTTAGATTGGTCAGGTTTCTGCTGAGAAGTCATGGTTGCTTGGTGCTTGGAAATTGGGGGAGGGGGGGGGGGTAATATGGGGAGGTTGGTGGTGGAGAGACAGAGGGTACTTGGAAGGATCTGCTGGAAAACCCTGTAGTTTTTCCTAGTATTGGTGGATTCCAGAGATGCTGAAACCCTACTTACTATAAAAGAAAGTTAATCCAGGCACAACCATTACATGTGACTGTTGACATGCACAATTGCTTGGATAAAGAAGGATCTAACTATTTCACGGTCAATCACTCAAATTTTCTAGACCCTAAAAGCCCGTACTATTACCATTGAGCCCTTTTGGAGGGAAGCCAAAGTAAAAGTGCCAAAGAACGGTTGGCGGAAGTGCCACATTGAAGGGTATCTAGCTTGCTCAATGTTTTTCAGGACAGTGAGTGAGCCTAATGAAAGATTCCATGACTTCATCCATGCCTTTTTTGGCCATACCCTCCACAGTAAAGGTTGTGCTTATGTTCATGATCTGGTTGTGATAGATTAGGCAAGGAGGTCAGTTTGGTTATGTGATTACATATAACAGACACAGGTCTCTGCACCCAATAGGAAAACATGGCGACTGGGAAGGGGTCCAGGGCAGAGCTCCCGATTGGGAAATACAACCGGGAGGAGGTTTGTAGGACTGTTCGTAGTTCCTACAGTGATCTTTATGGTACATTGTGCATTTAGGATGGGGTTCACTTGCTTGGGTTTTTTCTATTTTCCACTTTCTTTCTTGTAGGAAATGCAATTCCTGGCCCAGATTTTTTATCTTTGCATTTTCTTTTACTTTTTAAAATCCCTGCTATGAACAAAATAGACCATGACCCCCTTCCCCCCCTTGTATCAGGCAATGAATGGCCTCCATGATTCACAATGTAGTAATTGTTAATTATCTACTAACAAAATCTTGTAAACCTCCTCCATAATCTATGTCAAAAAATCACAAGCTCTATTATTTTTACATTGGCGGGGGGGGGGGGGGGGGGGGGGGGGGGGGGGGGGGGGGGGGGGGGGGGGGGGGGGGGGGGGGGGGGGGGGGGGGGGGGGGGGGGGGGGGGGGGGGGGGGGGGGGGGGGGGGGGGGGGGGGGGGGGGGGGGGGGGGGGGGGGGGGGGGGGGGGGGGGGGGGGGGGGGGGGGGGGGGGGGGGGGGGGGGGGGGGGGGGGGGGGGGGGGGGGGGGGGGGGGGGGGGGGGGGGGGGGGGGGGGGGGGGGGGGGGGGGGGGGGGGGGGGGGGGGGGGGGGGGGGGGGGGGGGGGGGGGGGGGGGGGGGGGGGGGGGGGGGGGGGGGGGGGGGGGGGGGGGGGGGGGGGGGGGGGGGGGGGGGGGGGGGGGGGGGGGGGGGGGGGGGGGGGGGGGGGGGGGGGGGGGGGGGGGGGGGGGGGGGGGGGGGGGGGGGGGGGGGGGGGGGGGGGGGGGGGGGGGGGGGGGGGGGGGGGGGGGGGGGGGGGGGGGGGGGGGGGGGGGGGGTTACCATTGAGCCCTTTTGGAGGGAAGCCAAAGTAAAAAGGCCAAAGAACGGTTGGCGGGAAGTGCCACATGTGAAGGGTATCTAGCTTGCTCCCAATGTTTTTCATGGACAGTGAGTGAGCCTAATGAAAGATTCCATGACTTCCATCCATGCCTTTTTTGGCCATACCCTCCACAGTAAAGGTTGTGCTTATGTTCATGATCTGGTTGTGATAGATTAGGCAAGGAGGTCAGTTTGGTTATGTGATTACATATAACAGACACAGGTCTCTGCACCCAATAGGAAAACATGGCGACTGGGAAGGGGTCCAGGGCAGAGCTCCCGATTGGGAAATACAACCGGGAGGAGGTTTGTAGGACTGTTCGTAGTTCCTACAGTGATCTTTATGGTACATTGTGCATTTAGGATGGGGTTCACTTGCTTGGGTTTTTTCTATTTTCCACTTTCTTTCTTGTAGGAAATGCAATTCCTGGCCCAGATTTTTTATCTTTGCATTTTCTTTTACTTTTTAAAATCCCTGCTATGAACAAAATAGACCATGACCCCCTTCCCCCCCTTGTATCAGGCAATGAATGGCCTCCATGATTCACAATGTAGTAATTGTTAATTATCTACTAACAAAATCTTGTAAACCTCCTCCATAATCTATGTCAAAAAATCACAAGCTCTATTATTTTACATTGGCATGATTTTGTGGGTTTTCCGCCAAGTGAAGCCCCAGACGCCACATCATTGCCTGAAGAGATTCCCTTGTCTATTCATGTCAATGAAAACTTATTATTTGTCATAAGGTTCTCATTTCAAATCCTGATTTGTACACTTCTATCACAGTAGTTTTCCTGTTCCAAAACTAACAAATGAAATACACAAGTACCTACATCTACACAAGAAAGGGCAATTTATTTGTTTCACAAAGCCATCCAACCTTCAATTATCATTCATTTCATCTATACACATTGTAACATACATGAATCTGTTGTTTTCCAACACAAATGATATATATGAGTTTTAGTTTTGTTTATGAAGTGACCACTCCTAGGAAATCTTCAAACATTACTACTTGAACCTAAAACCTTCCTAATGCAGGGGCTTTGCCCTCAGACCCCCATCTGATTGCCATATTTCCCTATCTGAGGCTCAACCCCCAAGACCCCACCTGATTGCTATGGACCTGCTATGCACACAGTATTTATTGTGACCAATTTTAAAATTGCACCTTGTACTATAAGGGTGTTGAAAACAAACTGTACCCCAAAAGGTACCCTAGAATCAAGACTTTCTCCTAGACCAACTGGCATCTCAAATACAGGAAAATAAATTGTACTTGATTAATGTCCACAACAGCCTCACACAGTCACAGTTCTTAATGTCACATTTTCTATAAGTTGGCACAGAACAAATAAAAGGGGGTAGAGGAGGCTTCCCCCTTCTAGGGAATAAATAGTAGGTAGGAAAGGTTAGACTTGGATCTTGGGTTTGCACGGTGGTTTTGGGACTTGCATCTCTGGTGCCTGCGTCGCTCTCAGTAACAAACACTTTGTACTTATTCAGAGTAAACAAACCATACATCACAATGTACTTTAACCAGAATACAAATACCAAGCAGGCACCTGAGCAAGTGGTGGAGCTTGGGGAGAAAGGCAACCAGCCCTTTTTTTCTCATACCCAAACAGCCTGTCCACACGCTGCTTCGGCCTAAACACCATTGCCACAGAAGGAGCAGCTCCAGACAACCACTCAAACACAAACATCCAAACCTTACCTTCGCGTTCTTTATCTCAAGCTCTCCCAAGCAACAGATATCTGAGTTAGTCAAGTGGCTTCCCTGGATTAAGCAGGTTGAAAGATATAAGCAAAAAGAGTTGATTTGTCACTAATTAAAAAGAAACACGAAATCCAACTGCCGGCATCTACGCTTAGCAACAACAAAAGCAAATCCTTCTACGACTAACTTCGCAGATTCTGATTTACTCCCTCAAGCAAGTTATGACATTTAGACGAATTTGCCACTAAAATGCTCCTCTAAAAAGCTCCGGGAAAACCAATATAAGCCAACTTTCTAACCCGTTTTGGGGCCAAATGACGGACTTGTCACAGCCGAACGTCCTCCTCCTTGTTTCGCGCGGGCAGCCCAAATGAACCAGAAGCCAGCACCCCGACCCACCTCCAACCGAAAGCAAAGCAGTACATTTCCCTTCGCCTCCTCTAAAACACGCTAACCTTTTCCGGAGCTCGGGAAAACGCCGGAATCCTGTGGCTCAGCGCTGTTGTTTTGGGACGAGGCAATATGGCGGCGAGACGGAGGCGCGGAACACGTTAGGTCGCCGGAGGGAAAACAAGCAACGCTGGAAAATATCTCATAACATAGATTTACCTCCAGTATATGGATTTTGGGGTAGATTCCCA